GGATAGGCTGAACCTTCCCCACAGAGATGCACTGATTCAATACATCTCTTTGAGGAGATGCTGATTGGTGCTTTTAGGGCCGGTGCAAGGATCTTTGGGTACATAGGCGAAGATGCATTTTTCCACCCCCCCCAAAATAACATCTTCACCTGTGTGCCTCTTAACCTTCCTTTTGTGTTTCTTATCCCCTCTTTTAAATGTCTTAATACTTTTGAGTGCATTTTTCCCCTATTGTGTCTCTTACAACCCAGCTTGTGTGTCTCTTATCTCCCCTCTTTGTATGACTCTTACAACCTCCCACATTTGTGTGACTCCTTCTCTCCCAGCCCCTTTGTGTGACTCCTTCTCTCCCAGCCCTTTGTGTCTTTTATTCTTCCCAGTTCCTTTGTGTGTGTTTCTTTCACCCCAGCCCATCTGTCTCCCCCCAGCCCCTCTGTGTGTCTCTTTTTCCCCTTCTCAAGCCCCGCTGTGTGTTTCTTTCACATCCAGCCCCTCTCCCCGTCCGTTAGTGGTCCCCTCCCTTCCCTGTCCCTTAGTGTTCCTCTCCCCTCTCCCCTCTTTTCCCTATCCCTTAGTGCTTCTCTCCCTTCCCCTCCCTGTCCCTTGGTGCACCCCAACCACCTTAGTGGTCCCCTCCCCTTCCTGATGTGCCGCCTACCTCTCTTGTAGCAAGGCCGAGCGTAGCGGAACCCGGTACAGGAGTTTCAGTTTCTTGTACCCGGCTGGACAGACAGGAAGTGCTCTTTCAGTGAGCACTTCCTGTCAGTCTCGCTGGGTACAGGAAACAGAAGCTCCTGTACTGCAGTCTGCCCCACTTAGCCACGCTACACTCAGTGGTGTATACACACTGACAGTCACACACCCAATGATAAACACATAGATGTCACTGACAGATACAGGCTCACTGATTTGACACACACACATTCCCCAACAGACACACACTGGCAGATACGCACTGACAGTCACACACACACTCAATGAAAAACACACAGACGTCACTGACAGACACAGACTCACTGATCTGACACACGCTCATTCATTGACAGACAAACACACTGACAGACACACAAACATTGACAGACTCATTGACAAACACACACTGATAGTCACACACAGACTCAAAGACAAACAGACTCTCACTGATTTGACACACTCACAAACACACACAAACAGACAGACACACTCATACTCACTTGCACATACATACACTCACATAAACGCACACACATACTCACTCAGACACACATACACACACACACTCACTAATTATTAATATTATTGTAATTAACTATTTTCCACCCAGACTCCCTACCTAGAGAGCTGTCGTGGGTCTATTGTTGGAGGTCCAGTGGGGCTGCTGTGAGGCGTGCGGCTGTACTGGCATTTAAGGCGGCGAGGGAGCTCTGATTTCCCTACTCTGCTCCCTTGCGCCTTGTGTCTACTGATGCCGGGAGCCAGAATTACGGCATATTCCGGCTCCCGTGGCATCAGCAATCGGAGCATGAGGGAGCAGAGTAGGGAGATCATAGCTCCCTCGCCTTCTCGGATGCCAGTACAGCCGCACGCCGCGCCGGAGGGTCCAGAAGCTGGCTTGGTAGGAGAGTGCACTTCCCTCCTGCCTGTCACTGGAATATTGCGCCTTCAGTGCCGGTGCGCCCTAAGGCGGCTGCCGGTTTCGCCTTATAAGCACGCCAGCCCTGGGTGTTTTATAGCATATGCGCAAAAGCCTCCCAATGCTTTCCAATTTGAAAGCATTCGATTAGCTGAGATCATTAATAATCTCAGCCATTAAGGTGTGGCGGGGCAGCCATGGCGAGCCCGGCGTGGCAAAAAAGATAAGTAAAATCACCTTTTTTTAAAGTAAAGAGAGTGGGCCAGCAGTGGGCCAGTGATTTTACCACTATAGTGTCAGAAATACATGTTTGTCTCTTGGTGTAGATGTCTCTTGGTGCTATGTCAGCGCTCCGCCTGCTCCAACGACTGACCCACTGCTTTCCTACATGGATTTTACTGACACTGGATGTCCTCTTGCACAGCGTGCCTTAAGTCCGGTAAAATCTTTTCTATGAATACAGTAATACGGTAAGTAAGAGCAGTGATGGAAATAGACAGGATGACGGCCTCAGTCCTAGACTGCAAAATAATATTCCATGACTCTAAATCCTCTCTCTTTCCTCTTAATCAAGATCCAATTATAATTTTCTACTGCTACTGATTCCCACAAATGAAAATTTACCACATTTACCATGTGGCCATTTTTCAGTGCGAGCAATTTTCTGTGTGGGCAATTTTCAAGTGCCCTTTTTTTTTTACTACCGATTCCCACACTTCTCTTCCCTACAAGGAACATTAGCTTTCTAAAGGCAGCTGCTGGATAGGCCTATTAACATGGGGTGAATCACCTTGTCACAGAGAATGAGGGTTCAGTTCATATGGTATTAATGTGGGGTTGATTCAGTAGAGAGTGAATTTTGCGCAAATGTAAACTAAATTTTAAGTTTTAGGCCAAATGAAGGATTATTGCAAATCAGTTATTTTAATTTTTACCTAAATGTTTCAGTTCATTTTTTTAATTCACATAATACACAATTCATAATAAGTGTTTAGTGAATAACCTCCAAAGAGTGCCAGGCATTGTAAGATATGTTTACTCATTAAAACAATAAACTGTGGAGAATTTGAAAGAATGTTTCTATATTAGAAAAACCTGTGCATTTCCATTACTGTCCATCCAGACTATTTTGTCCTACATTTTGCAGTTTGATTTAAAATTCACCAAAATTCACTGTTTAGTGAGTAAGCCCTACGTTAATATTATGATAATTGACCCCTCAATCTCAGTGACTAGCTAATTCAAAACATTTTCATATGCCTGTCTACCAGCTGGCGTTAGAAAGCTAATGTTCCTGCCAACTCACACCGCTACGGGAGGCCAAGTGTTTTAATTAGCTATAAAAAAAAAAAAAAAATCAGCAATAACTGTAGTCTGTAGTCTGAGAGGTTGTTATGCAGAATTAAATAATACAGTACATACTTACGGAAAAACAAGGTAACCTTTCTTTACCAGAATTGTAAAAAATATCATTAGCAAAAATTCGTTCAAGGACACATGGGTTATAATGTGTTTTAGTTTACTGCAGATATAGTACTAAACCTGTTAAACTTTTGTGCACAGGACTACATTTCCAACTCACCTGGCAACTGCAAACAGCAAGACTGTCATCTTGCACTGAGTGATACGGAGATAGGGCCCATCACGCATTTACTGTCTTGTTCTCGTGCTGAGTCAAATACAGGTGCATATACCCAGTAATCTTCACACTAGAAGCCTCCTAAACTGCTCTGTCTTCGACAAAAAAAAGATTTGATCCCACTACTTCTTGTGTCTTTGTCCTGTTCCTGAGCTTGACTTTAACTATCAATTCTGATCCTGTAATGGCTATCATGACCCTGGATGCAGTGTGTGTAGTGAATGCATAGTAGAAAATGATCAAAGTAGGATCAGCGTTAGTAATGCCAGAATAAGTATGTAAACTGTAAAAAGGCAGCACACCTAAAAAGGGGTAACCCTTCTATCCCCTAAAGCTAAAATAGAAATAGAAAAATCAAAAAGGCGCGCCCTATTCTTAGTGAATGCATAGTGTTTGTGTGCGCAAAGTGTGAATAGTGTATGCAGTGTCTGTATTTCTGTAGTGAATGCAATGTCTGTTTGTGTCAGTGGCGGATCCGGGGGGGGCAACGGGACAATTCCCCCCCCGAGGTTCTCCCCGCTGGCTAAAGCAGGGCTGGCATTGTCCAAGTGCCAGCCCTGCAATGTGCCTGCTGACCGAGGAGGGAGATCAGAAATCTCCTTCCTCGGTCCACAGGCACTATCCTTGCAGCCGTCAGAGGAGGGAGAGAGGACCCGGGAGCTCTTACCTGCAGCTCCTCCGGGTCCTCCTCTCGCGAGCACGGAGAGTTCACTCCTACCACTGGGACCACCAGGGATCCAGAAATGTCCCCCCTCCTCCCAGTAAAGGTAAGAAGGGAGGGGGGGGACATAAAGTACATTAAAGAAAATATATATTAAAAAGCCTCCCTACCCTCCTTCCCCCCCATACACACACTGCCCCCCATACACACACACTACACACACTGCCCCACAAACACTGCCCCCATACACACTACACACACTGCCCCACAACCACTGCCTCACAAACACTGCCCCTCATACACACACTACACACACTGCCCTACAAACACTGCCCCCATACACACACACTACACACACTGCCCTACAAACACTGCCCCCATACACACACTACACACACTGCCACAGAAACACTGCCCCCATGCACACACAACACAACCTGCCCCACTAACACTGCCCCCATACACACACTGCCCCAAACACACATACACTGCAAGCCTCACACACACACACTGCACCGCTCACACACACACTGCCCCACACATACACTGCCCCCTAACACACACACTGCAACCCTGACATACACTGCCGCTCACACACACACACTGCACCCCTAACATATACCACTGCTCCTATGCCCTATATACCAGCAGACCCCAGGTAAATTGTCAAACTGTTCTTAAACAGTTTGACTACTTACTCTGGGATGAGATCCTGGCACTATTGGCACCATAACTACTACACTGAACTGTAGTGGTTATTGTGCCTGGATTATTTTTTTTAAATAATCTACAAGTGCCCCTCCCGAGATCAGGCTCTGGATCCACCACTGGTTTGTGTATTGTATGCAGTGTATGCATTGTGTGTGTGTATAGTGCATGCAGTGTGTGTGTGTATGGTGGATATAGTGTGTGTAGTGCATGCAGGGCTGGTGCAAGCATTTCTGAAAAGATGGGATAAGAAGCAAAGTGGCTGGAGGAAAGTAAGAGACACACAAGGGACTTGTGAGATACAAAGGGGAAAATGGGGGATAGAATGTATTTTTAATACATTTAGTATTCTATCCCCCATTTTCCCCTTTGTATCTTCAAAAAGGGGGTAAGATACACAAAAAGGGGTAAGACATTCAAAAGATGGGATAAGACACAAAAGCGGTAAGAAATTCAAAAGGGAGGTTAAGAGACACACAGGTAAAGATTATGTTTTGCCTCACCCCCCCAAAAAAATGAATTTTTACCTGTGTGTCTCTAAACCTTCCTTTTTAATTTCTTACCCCTTTTGTGTCTTATCCCATCTTTTGAATGTCTTACCCCTTTCTGTGTATCTTACCCCCTATTTGTATATTCTATCCCCCATTTTTCCCCTTTATATCTTACAAGCCCCTTGTGTGTCTCTTACTTTCCTCCAGCCACTTTGTGTGTCATTGTTACTGTCCCCAGCAGTTCTGTGGGTGTCATTGTCCCCTTCTCCAGCCTCTCTTTGTGTGTCATTGCCCTCTTCTCCAGCTTTTCTGTGTGTCATTGTCCTCTTTCCCAGGTCCTCTGTGTGTCCATTAACCCATCCCCAGCACCTCTTTGTGTGTCATTGTTACCTTCTCTAGCCCCTCTATGTCATTGCCGCCTTCCCCAGGCCCTCTGTGCGTGTCATATCTGTCCCCTTCTCAGTCCCTCTCTGGTGTGCTTGAGACAACACTTGGTTTGCATATTTGTGCTGTTGTGAGGGATTCTATGCAGGGGGTTGAATCATTTTGAGACTGGTAAAGTCATTATAAGCTGCATTTTAAGTTGAATTTGGGGAAACCACTTGGAGCATTCGTTGCGTTGAGCTATTTAAATTCATTTTGTTTGATTTGCTCATTGCAAACAGCTGAAAGTCTGTAAATTTTGACAATAAACCTGATTTTTAATGGGCGTTGAATAAATTTGATTACAACAGTATATATATGCAAACAGTTGTACAGCAGCAGATTTGTTAAAAGTGTAGAGTTCCGCCTGGTGACGTGAACCCACCAGGACCTATGCATCTAAGGTACAATTATAGACAAACACAGTGGGATTAACCTGATTAACCTAATTACTCACAAACTGATGGATTTTTTAACATTTATGTTCAAGACTTTGAGTAAACTGCCATTATCAGAAAAGTAATATTTTCTCTTTAAATAAATATATGTCCACTGACTTATACTGAAGGTTTACAATGTAATTTTGTTGTGGTTCCAACCTCCCTTACCCATGGGTAAATTGCCATCATGTAAATTTCACTTTGACCTGTATAACTATGTATGTGCTCAGTAAACACATGTTTTAAAGTAATTGACAAGGCTAAATATGACAGCTTCTAAAATGAGTCAGGGATAATTACAGGAATATTACATGCTGACCAGGCTAAGGAATAAGGAATTAATTGACCTCACTTAGCCTAATGTACTGTTGATATTGACTCTGTACAGAGTTTAGTCCCTGCAGGTCCATCGTTGTAAAGAAATAATCCATGTCCATAAAACGATTTCTTTAGTCATTTACAAAAAAAAAATATAAAGCACTGTTTTCATTACATCTGTGTATATCTTTATACATTGTTTTCAAAACACCTGCTCTATTTTAAAAATATACTACAAAAAATTAAAGGAGCTAAATTAAAAAAGGCAGTGCTTGAAATAGTGAAGTTTAAATACAGTGAATGGCCCTTTAAAGTGCAACAAAGAATGCAAATTTCTCTATATCGATATGATTCCCCAAGGCACAACAATCTTAAAGTGGAACCATTAGAGTAAAGCATACAACCCTCAATGAAAACAAACATAAAAATGGTATGAAACATACAAATAAAATAAAAGTATATATAATTAGCATAATAGCTTGTTCAATAGAATATTCTGGGCATAGTATTAAAAAAATTCTTTCTTTAACAACCCTGGAGTGTGTACTCGCATTAATCCACACACTGCTGACAATCCAATATGACAAACTTTATTATCTTTACAGGTTAAAATAGGAAATAAAAAGGAGCAGATCTAGTGCCTTTCTGATCAGTTCTCTTTCCAAAGTTCCAAAGTTCTCAGATGCAGCCTAACAGCGAACAACCTGTATCCTCTCCTTTTACACATCCTTGTGTTCAGTCTCCTCGTATGACGCATTTTGCTCTGCCTGTCAGAGCTTCTTCAAATGTGTGATAGACTCAGTGCGGTACTGCAGTATTATATACTATTGTAAATGATGCACTTTGTAATGAGTCAATTCTCAATTAGGTAAATTGTAACAATAAGGTGACAGAAACAACTTTAAAATGTATACTGATGTCAGATTAAAAACTCAAGAAAAACACATTGCAATCGATTTTTCAAAATATTAAATATTAAAACGATAGTAGAGAAAAAAAAAATATATATATATATGTATATATATATAGTTAATACAATGTTAAACGAAAATCTGCACACCAGTCAAGCCATACGACTTGCTTTTCCCACAGAAATCCCAAATCAGCAGTGATGTTACAACCGCAAAGGATTCTGGGTGGGCATATGCAAATTAGTTTAACAAAGAATCACATTTTATATATATACTGTGACAGTGTTGGGGATGGTGTATATCTGGCACCTGGACTTTTGCGCAGCCACTATCATGTGCTTACTATGTGGGTAAGCACATGCAGCCCCAGGGAAAGTTAAGTTTAACCCCTTAAGGACTGGACTGTTTTTGCGATGTTGTACATTTGCGACCAGGCCTCTTTTTACACTTTTGTGGTGTTTGTGTTTAGCTGTAATTTTCTGCTCTCTCATTTACTGTTCCCATACAAATTATATATTGTTTTTTTCAGGACAAAAGGGGCTTTCTTTACATACCATTATTTATATAATCTCATGTAATTTCATTTGAAAAAAAATAAAAAATATGATGAAAAACTGAAAAAAATACTGTTTTTTGACTTTTACTTGAAAAATATTTTACTCATCTACAAAAGCGAATGAACAAAACTGCTACATAGATTCAAAATTTTGTCCTGAGTTTAAAAATACCTGTGTTTACATGCTTTTTTTTGCAAGTTATAGGGCTATAGGTACAAGTAGGATATTGCGGTTTCAAAACTTACATTTTTAAAATTTATCAATAGTGACATTGTAACACTATTATCTGTCATAAATCTCTGAATAACACCCCACATGTACATATTTTTTTTTAAAGTAGACAACCCAGGTTATTCAATATGGGGTATGTCCAGTCTTTTTTTAGCCACTTAGTAGAAAACACTGGCCAAAGTTAACATTCATATTTGTGTGTGAAAAAGTAAAAACCGCTAATTTTGGCCAGTGTTTGTGACTAAGTGGCTACTAAAAAAGACTGGACATACCCCATTTGCAATACTTTGGGTTGTCTTCTTTTGCAAATGGTATGCCATCACGGGGGTAATTCTCATTCCTGGGCTACCATACGCTCTCAAAGGCAACGTAACCAACCTGGCCTTTTTCAATGTAAAAATATTTGACCCATATATTTGACCCTGTAACTTTCAAAAACGCTATAAAACTTGTACATGGGGGTACTGTTATACTCGGGAGACTTTGCTGAACACAAATATTAGTATTTCAAAACAGGAAAACATATCACAACAATTATATCATCAGTAAAAGTGCTGTTTGTGTGTGAAAAATGCAAAAAAAGGTCACTTTCACTGACCATATCATCGCTGTGATATGTTTTACTGTTTTGAATCACTAATATTTGTGTTCAGCGAAGTCTCCCGAGTCTCCCCCATGTACAGGTTTTAGGGTGTCATAGAAAGTTACAGGGTAAAATATAGTGGTAGCAAATTAAATTCTCTGGACTTTCGGCCTGGGTTGGCAGGCAGGTCCCACAAAATGCAATCAATAAAATTACTTAATTATGTAAAAATATTACATTAATACGCACGTAGAATTAAAATATATATGCATATTTATATATTTGAAGTCTACGTGTATATTTATATAATTATGTAATTTTGTATATGGATATATGTATATTTCGTATTATTTTTATATACATAGATATATATACAATTTCATTCTAAGTGTATTTTGATCTAAATATATATATATATTACTATCAAAATATAGTTAGAATAAAATTTCATATAGATATATATTTTTTTAATTTTTATTATTATTTTTACATGTTTTTATTTAATTTAAATTACTTATTTGTATTTTATAATAATATTTATATACAATATATATATTTATTATATATAATATATATATATATATATATATGTGTGTGTAATTTAATTATAAGTGTATTTTTATATTAATATATGTACATATCAATATAAAATACACTTAGTATGACATATATATGATATATAGACATATATATATATATATATATATATGTCTATATATCATATATATGTCTATATATCATATATATATATATATATACACACATATATAATTTTTTTTTTTAAATTAACTTTAACTTTAATTTTTTTAATGATTTTACACTAGCAGGTAGATTGCCTGTCAGCACAGGCAGTCCCCCTGCAAGCAGACACATGGACAACTATTGTGACCATGTGATCGCTCTGTTGAGCGATCACATGGCTACAGGGGTCCTAATCCGTCATGGGGAGACTGTCTGGGCTGCAGGCAGTCTCCCCACAGCGGGAGCAACATCGGCAATGTAAAAATGCTGATGACGGTCCTGAGCCGTCCTCGGTCCTGAAGGGGTTAAATGTAGTTTTTTTCTATGTTGTTATTTGGGTCCCTGGGGTGGAGTATTCGTAAGAGCAGGGTGGGCCGATTCTCCACCCCACTGTCAGAGTGGCTGTGCATGAGTCCAGCACAGGTTTTCTGAGGAGTTCTGGCTCACTGCCTAATGAGCTCATTAGCCTCACCTGTAGAGACTGTGAGCAGCTTTATAACTGCTGTTAAAGTAGGGTGGAGTGGGGAAGTGTTTTGTGGAGAAAGAAAGTTATCTACTATTTGTAAGCATTGCTGCTTTGTATATCCTGTTGTATCCTGATGTACCTGGCTACTTCTTGAGAACAGAAAATAAACAGGCCAGAGGCCCAAAGATCCTGGACAAACACACACAGGGAAGTTAGTTTGTCACAATACACGCACGCACGCATGCACACCAATGGCAAAATGGCAAACAATGAATGGAATAACAAGTCAATAAAAAAAAGAAAGGAGGGGAATAAAACGAACCTCGAAATCATAAAAATAAGTAGGAAAAAAGTGATAGTCTAACCCTGATTACTACAGGGAATCTTAAAGGGACACTATTGTCACCTGAACAACTTTAGCTTAATGAAGCAGTTTTGGTGTATAGAACATGCCCCTGAAGCCT